ATAGATAGATAGATAGATAGATAGATAGATAGATAGATAGATAGATAGATAGATAAAATAAATAGATAAAACATTCTTAGCTGGGAATTGTGATGCACACTTACAAGCTCAGCACTCAGGAGACTGAGGAGGAGGGTCTTGTATTTGACTCTAGCCAGGGCTACCTAGAGAGTCTGGGTTCAGGGTTGGGGGTATAGTTAATGTTAAAATGCATGCTGGTGAGTGCAAGGCCCCAGGTTACATCACTAGTAAGGCAAAGAAGGGGAAAAAAATCTTAGACTAGTATACATTGTTAGAGCTAATACATTAGGAAATTGAAATATGATGGTTTCACAGAATAAAACTTAATTCTCTTTTTTAAATTTATAAATACTAACAACAATTGGCATGTTATTGCAAAGTAACCTTTGTAAACACGAAACTTTTATTATAAAAATTATTTTAAGGTTATCCTTTTCTTGCTTACAAACTGCATTACCTCAACCTGTCCTCAAAACAAGGGAGCACTTTTGACATGGTTATATAAGATTGAGTATGTGCTCTTTTGAAGTTTGAGGGGTTTTTTTGACACAGAAAATGCATGAATGAACATTCTACAGAGCTCTGTCCAACTGTCAATTCAACTTAAATTCACAACAAGAAAACGATCTGTCTATAAAACATACACATGAAAAGGCCTTTAAATATGCATAATTTGTAAATCCACTGCAGGGTAGCACAATAAATACTATATCGTGTGCTTTTTCAAATACATACTTATGTTGAACTTTGTCCTCTCTGATAGTTTATTTTAACAACTCCACTGCATGCAAGAAAAGAAATCAATAGATCAAGTAATGAAAATAGTAATGATTTGGAGCCAAAGAAAAACATTTAATTGCTAATTAAAAGAAGGACCTCAAAATATCCCTACCATGCCCACCTTTTATCCACTAAATCTTAAGACAAAGAAGAACCTGAGGAACAGGGGTGGGATAAAGCACAGAGCCATCACCATGGTGACAATGGTGGGCAAGGATGAGCCACCTCAGCAACACTGAGCACTTCCTGTCTGCCAGCCACTGGATTAGTCCTTTTAATTCTCCCTGTTAATTCCCCAGCCATGACTCACTGTGAGGCAGGACTTCATTTGGAGGTGAGAACAGTGACAATCCTGGAGTTAAGTAACTTTCCTAAAGCCCCATCAGAGCTGGTAAGTGGCTGAGCTAGAATGCCAATCTGCATCCAGCTGGACCTAAGCAAATACTTTCTAAAAGCCCTTGACAGGCTTTTAGAGCCATGAATACTTTATACATTGAGTGTGCTTCAGAGCTGGTTCTGAACTGGGTCAGTGTCAGCACAGCTTCCACCCCCTGTCCCTCTGATCCTCTCCTGTGCACAGAGCTGTGAAAGTCAGGGCTGATTGGAAAATGGAGCTGGGCCTGCAGCTAATGCCAGGCAAGAAACCCCAGGTAGGTGAGTCTGGTCTCAGACA